CAAATACTGTTGACAAAATATCACACTATAATGCTTGACAAAGACAGCAGTGTCACCATTTTGAAAGGTAAGGTCCTTTTTCAATGGTAAATATTTTCAGTAATACTGTGATTTACAACAGAAATCAATTGCTTCAATCAAGAAACTAGATATTATGTAGAAAGAGTTTATCAAGTTTTATGCAATTTGGTTAAGTATTTTCACAAAGAGAATGAAAAGATTGTTGGATATCAGTAACATCTCAACAGTCTATAAAGGGCCAAAGCTGTAAATATTTGTTAAAGATTCATAGTTGTAAAATTCTTATTTTTCAAATAGACTGTATGTGCTGTTATAGTGGAATAAATAGCTCTTAGATGGATTTTTCATTAGAGCACACTAACTTACATGTTCCAGCCTGAATGGAAGTATTCAGAAACACCCAGACCAACTATCTTCAAAATAGCTTCCAACACGTAAACTGTAATACATTACAGGAAAGTTAAAAGCAAAACATAATCTTCCCATCACTAAATATTTATTTAATATTATAATAAATGATAGACCTCAAAAATAACAAAAAATTTGTAAAAAATTTTGTAATCTCTTAAAGACAAATTTTACTACTTTTTAACACCTGGATAAAATTTTATATATTATTTCAAATTACTAAAAATGACAAATTTACTTTAAGCACAAAATCACTTCCTGCTTCCCATGTTTAGGCCAAATGTTTTTATCAACTGAGTTACAAGAAATATATGGAAAATTTTTATAAGTATGAGGAGGGGGGGGGGAGGGGGAGGGGAATAACACCATTGAAAAACGATGAGTCAAAAACAATAAAAAAAAAGGAGGATAAGACAATATTTGTTTTGCATGATATTTGGTTGCTTTAATGCTCTTCTTTATGTTTTGATATCAGAGCATCTTAAGAGAAACTAAGTATGCCTAGTAGTACTGTGTAGTTGCAGCTTTTGTTGTTTGTTTGTACTAAATATTCCTGCACTATTAACCTAATTATATAGCTCATTCCAATCCTATATTCAAGTGTAAGCAGTCCATAAATCCACAACAATAAAATTTTGTTTCTCAGTTCTTAAAAATTTGATAAATTACTACTTTTAACCCAAATAAGTATGAAAGTGTGATTTGAGAGATACACAGTAAACAGAAATAGAGACAGCAATTATTATTATTCAAGGCTATTTTACTAAACTGTGTGGGAAAGAAACTCAAATAACAGATATAATAACATTTACACTAAGTTACCTTTTTAATGATCAAATTATTTACTTTCAATAACCACCAAAATATATTCACTACAATGTTTATTTCCTTTTCTTGATTTTTTGTTGCTTCCCAGAAGAAAAATAAGTATTGCATATTGGTCAGATAATTTCAAATTATTCCCTTGGGCCCACACTTACCTTTTGATGGATAATATTCATATTTTCTTCTTGGAATATATCAATGACAAATTTATTAATTTCACTATCAGAACTAGTGGCCTGTTGTGGTACACAACATTTCAAACAAACCTTCAGAGATTTGTATCAAAATTCTCACAATACAAAAGATGAAGTATCAAGATGATCTAAAAAATTTTCACTGATTTCATTTTACTCATTGACTACAGACTTTAAAATTACATCATTGCCCCCACAGCATATCTGAGAGAATGTATTCTACAAATTCTTTCCAGACTTTACCTTAAAACACTTAAAAATAATTTCAAAAAATGCACTCTCATGATTTTGTGACACAATTTCTGCAAATTTAGAAATGTTGTATCATAATAAATGTTGAAGACCATATGGTATCAAGCTAACCTTAACCAAAATTATTCAGCAAAATACAGTAGTTCATGCAATTTAAAAGTTATTTTATTTACGTATGGAATTAAATAGTGGAGCAGGCAACTTAAAAAAGAACTTCATGGCTTTTCTCTTTAGTTCGGTTGTTTGTTTGTTTGGTGCAAAGCAACTAGGCTATCTGTGTCAAATAACTGGTAAAAACAGTAAAAGTAAATTGCAGTAAAATGTAAAAATAAATTGAGTTAAAACCAAAATATGTCCAAATAACAGATAAAAGAATTAAAATAGAATTAAAAGACTAATTGTTCGAAAAAATTAAAATACAATACAAGTTGGACAGTGTCACCAATGACACTGTCCAATGTCAGGGGTAAACCCTTACAAAACACTTGTCTAAAATGGTGCTGCTGCTCATGGTCGTAATGATGGCAGGACAGTAAAATGTGGGCTATTGTGACTTGAGTGTCACAAAGGCTACACATCGGTGGTTTAATACCAGATAAAAGAAAATGATGAGTTGAAAACTGTGACCAATGCATAGCCTTGCCAGGACAACTTCCTCCTTCCAATCCTTAAGGAAGCAGGATGGCAAAAGAGCAACAGAAGGTTTGATCTGGAAAAGTTTGTTATGACATTGCTCACCCCAAGTCAACTGCCAATTGGCTCGAAGCCACCCCTTGAAGACAGGACCGTAGTCCATGTATGGGACATGCACAGCCGTGACAGCACCAGAGCAGATGGACTTAGCTGCAGTGTCAGCGAGCTTGTTCCTGTGAACACCGATGTGGTCAGGTATCCAGAAAACTAGATGGAAATGGAAGATAGAGAAAAATGGGCCAGTCATTGTTGAATATCGACGAAAACAGGATGAGAACTAACGTTAAGCGATTCCAGGGCCAGTAGAGAGCTAAGAGAATCGGTATAAATAGTAATCATTTTACTGCATAGCTTCTACATGATTCAGAGCAAGAGAAATAGCATTCAACATGGCAGTGAATACAGAAACTGTACAGGGGATCCCGCAAGCAACTACTGAGCCACAGCAAACCATAGCAGAGCCTACAGGGTTACCCAATTATGAACCATCTGTGTAAATCAGAAGAGAAGAATGGCTCAAAAGGTGTTCAGCATAAAGAAAATGGTACTTCCAATTGGGAGTATCTGTCTTCTTCAGATGACTCAAGGAAAGGTTATGGGCAGGGGTGGTAATAAACCATGGCAGAATGGGCTGATCATTGGGGACAGCAATGTCATCCAATGCCAGACCCAATTCAGCCAGTTGTGCCTGGATACGAAGGCCAAAGGGAGGAATTGCAGACCATCTGTTCTGAAAGAGCACGGCCCACCGAGGACCGTGCAGACACAATGGGATGCTTGGTAGCATATTGTAGAGAAAGTTGCAAATGACGGAGGTGAAGAAGAGGTTCATGGGGCTCAGTGTACAAACTCTGGACTGGAGAAGTGTAAAAAGCCATGATGCAGAACTAAAGCCTCAGATGGTGAACAGATGGGTCAAGCATCTTCAAGGCCGATGTCCTGGCAGAACCATAGACCCATAGTCCAGTTTGGATCAAATCAGGGCACAATAGATCCTGAGCATAGAACATTAATCCACTCCCCAAGAGGTGGAAGAGGGGACACAGAGGATGTTCAGAGCCCTTGTACACTTAACACATAGCTGCTTGATGTGTGGAATGAAGGTAAGCTTATGGTCAAAGATAAGCTCCAAGAGCTTTGCCTCAGAGACCACACAAATAACAATACTGCCGAGATGGAGCTCGGGATCGGGATGGAGACCCCATTGGCAGAAAATGCATGCAAACGGTTTTGGAAAAAGAAAATGTAAAACCATTTGCAGTGGTCAATGTCAACAAGCGATTGAGGACAGTCTGAAGCTGTCACTTAATAAACCTCATGTTCAACGACTGACATGAGATGTGGAAGTCTTTGACATAGAGCCCATTTGCTACAGTTGGAGGAGTGTGAGTAGTGATAGCATTAATTTTGACACTAAAAAGTGTGACACTCAAGACACAGCCCTGAGGAATTCCAAGTTCATGTGGAAAGGAACGGGAAAGAGTTGAACCCACACAGACTTGGAATCGTCTGTCCAGTAAAAAATTCTGAATAAAAATGGGTAAATGGCCATGCAACCCATAGGATTGGAGGTCCTGCAAAATGCCATACCTCCACATAGTGTCATAAGCCTTCTGAAGATCAAAGAACACAGCAACAAGATGTTCTCTCTTGATGAAGGCTTCCATGATCGACGTTTCAAGTCAAATCAGATGGTCCACAGTGGAGCCCTGTTGATGGAATACACACTGGGTGGGCGAGAGGAGCATGTTTGATTCGAGAAACCAAACAAGACGAGCATTAACCATCCTCTCTAAGATTTTACAAAGACAATTAGTCAAACTGATCGGATGATATTTAGAAGGAATCTTGGAATCCTTCCCAGGTATGATTTTGAAACTGGTGGTAGAAGAGATGCTAGTAGTGAACTTAATCCAAGACTCCTTTTGGCTTTGATGTCGAACTTGCCAAGCATGGGCACAGGCCCGCTGATAAACTATGTGGTTAGAAAGAGAGGGATACTGTCGGAAGGTTTGTTTGTTTTTGAATTTTGTGCAAAGCTACACGAGGGAAGGCAGCTAGTAGTCACCACCCACCGCCAACTCTTGGGCTACTCTTTTACCAACGAATAGTGGGATTGACCGTCACATTATAACGCCCCCAGGGCTGAAAAGGCGAGCATTTTTGGTGTGACGGAGATTCGAACCCGCGATCCTCAGATTGCGAGTCGAGTGCCCTAACCACCTGGCCATGCCGGGCCTACCCAAACAGTAACTATCCTGCAAAACCCCTACATATACCGAAAATTAAACAAAAATAAAGTAATAAACAAAATCTAAATGCAAATTCAAACTAAAGTGCAGAGTAGTCACATGATCAGCTCAGGTTCTGAAATGTCTCAAAACTGATGGTGAATAAAGATTAGTGCACTGTAGCAAAATATTTTTTACCAATGCTTAGAGGGCAGACCAGGATCGAGATAGCTTCGGTTGAGGGTGAGTAGTACCATTTCAGAAACTGAATTTCTATTACTAATACAACAAACATCTGGCCAATAAACTCCACATATTTTATTACAATTACCCATTAATTAATACACTTATTATATAGATATTTATGAAAACATACCAATTTGTCCTGAAAGTTCAAAAGTCACTTGAGGACCAAATATATCCCAACTCATTTGTAAATCTTTGTGTAGCTGTTCACAGTTTGGTAGTGGACTTTTATGTTCCTAAGTTCATAAAAATATTTGTATTTACCAGCTCAAGCTTCTTTTAGCAGACAAAGCAATTTCAAAAGTAACAGATTTTTAATTGTATTTTTTGTGTACAATAGACTTTACAGTATACTAAAAGCTTGCCACATTTCATATAGGTACATATAGTAAAATCTGAATTATAGTCAACTGCATAAAAGAATATAACTGTGGTAGGCAGCTACCATATATTCATGCCACCTATAGTTTATTTAGATATTACATATAAAAATTTTAATTTTTGCTAAGTTTTGAGTACAGAACTAAAGAAATCCAGTGTAACATGGGTATTAACTGTGCTTTAGATTTTACTCTCATTGTCAAGGGTAGCATCCACTACCCTATGAGTTAGTTGTATTGTAGTCAACATCATCCTACATGTGAGGCTATTTCATAATTTTCACATGGGAGTTCTATAATTTTGTCATGTGATCAGGCCTGTTGACAAGGGGATGCCAAAGAAGGCAACTGCCCAGGGGCCTGGATAAGTTTTTATTTGAAATTAATATTTACAACAAATTTAATTGGATAAAAAAGGGGTAATAGCAGTCAGCAGCAGCAGTCCTGTTGGATCTAGTATTGTAGAAGTGGTAGCTGCTTTGTATCTTCACCTACTTTTTTTTTTATACTCATTTTCCTCTTTTTCTCTCTCTCTTGTGCTCATCGAGAAATTATTTTCCAAAATATATATTTCTGTTTGCTAGTAAAATCTGCAGTATAAAGGAGAATGAGTATACTAATCTTAAAGAATATTCTGTTGAATGCAGAGTGATCTCTCAATTTCATCAACCTACTCAGAACTTTATACTCAGACCACCCACCAAGAATACTGAACCATAGCCTGAGCCTACTTGAATCACTAATTATATTAGTGTACCTGACTATCACCATGCTGAAACCTTAAGAGAAGGTATTTTTATCATGCTATAGTTATCAGTTTTCACTGCCTTAGTGGTCCCATGCTAAGGCTGAGATGTAGGGATTGAGAAGTAAATGAATTATGCTAACCTGACCCTAATGACTACAAGGCAGTGTTGTTACTATCATGCTGTGCATATGACATCCTTTGGACCAGCCAAAAATCCTTCCCACATGGAAAGGATAGATGCTGATGTCCTAGATGGACAATAAATCTTATGCACAACTGGCCCTTATAGATGATGCTTTTGATATGAAAATGGGTTCCTCCAATGAGCAGTAAATGAAACCTATCATTATCTCTACAGTCATGGAGGACAAGTGGAATTAACAGTGGATGGTTTCCTTTACTATAATTGCTGCTTAGGATTCCTAATCTCAGGAACAAACAATTTAATGTCTATTGCTTAAGTTGTGTGGACCTTGATGCAATGGAATAGCTGGGTTCCAACCATCTCTGCAGCTGAAAAGCCATTGATCTCGTAGAGAACAGGACATCTACTGGGCAGAATTCAAAGTATGTGAGCATGATATATAGATAAACATAGCTGTATATTCTTATGAGCTGCAATACCTTCACAGGAAGATTTATCCCAGAATTACAGTGATCAATCAAGAAGACAGTCTCTTTGATAAGTTTGTAGAGGGACTTCATAATGAGTCAATGCAAAACCATTTGGATATTAGAGACTGTGTCTTTAACTGAAGCTGTGTTTACAGCAACAAGGTATATAGTGGTAACTGGAATGGAGAAAGTCTGCAGTAGCTCTATCAGCAACATAGCCCTCAATGAAGACTGAAGCACATTATAACAAGCATTGTTATAAGGCACCACATGCACTGCATGGTGAATCATCAAAGCCTACCAATGGTTGCCAGTTAAGAGATAGGTTTATTTTGAACAAATTGTTCCAGATCAGTACTGAAAAAAGAAGTAAAAGAACACTTTTTCAAATGTAGATAGTTTGGTCATTGATGGCATTGGTTAACTATCCCTGTACTTGCACAGAAGCCATCTGCCATACATACCAATTAAGAGACAATAAGCTTAGGAAAGACAGTTAAGAATGCTGTTAGATTTGAGAGGCTAAACTAGTGAGTCCCAGGTTGGTTCTGATGAATGATCTGGGAGACAATGCCCACCTGTCTGTTATTAGAGATGTAAAAGTCTAAGTAGATGATGATATGAATCTTTTAAAATAGACTAACAAAAGGAAAACTGTTCAGTATATAAGTTACTGCCATGTTAACCATTACTATGGCCAATAAAAAACAGATTTGTCTTCATAAATGGCGATAGATTTAGTATATGATGAAACTTTACTGTTGGTGCCATCACAAAGTATGTGATACTTGTTGTCAATAGATCTTGGCTCGAGCATCTGCATTTCACATTTATATATTTTACAGGAGTTATATGTTAGTATAGTCTGTGTATCATATGAACATGAACTGCAGCTTTGATTAAACCATAAAATGTTGATAAAAGTGTGAACAAAAACAGAGGACTACAGGCAATGACATCACAATTTCATTTAATTCACAAAAAGTGTTTTGTGTTCATAGGCACCACTACCAGCTGATTCTGAAGTAAAAGAGGCACCCAATATACAATGTCTCTACCAAAAAACCAAGCTGTACTTTCCTAATGTTCTATCTTCAAGAGTAAAGTACATTCTAGTTATGGTTTCTAATTATGGAAAAGTAAGATTGTTGGCTGGTCAATGGAAAGGTTTGTGAAATGAAATTAGTTGTATAGTCTCACTTCAGTCCACATCTTGTCACACAATTGTTTTGTACATCTGAGGCCACTGGTTGAAGATTGTTCAGACAATCTATATTCATTCAACAGAGTTTTTTGAGTATTTGCTAATGGAATTCTAATGTATCTGTTGAAGTAGACAGTTGATTGGAATGAACAAAACATTATATTACATACTGGAAATGAGCATCCTATAAAGTAACCACCATGTAGACTTTCTTTGTGTAATAATGATATACCCAGTACTGATATACAGTACAGATGCAGAAGGATGGATTCATAAAACCTTCGTGGAATACCAGTAGTAATTATAAGAATGAAAAGAGGTACACAGTAATGCAGTAACATGTAACAAGCATTTCTGTTGCGATGTACAAATGTTTGGATGCAATGAAAAGATATCACTAGTTTAATACACTATATATGACATCTTGCTACTGGTAAGAGGGGAAAGATGAACAAAGCAGAATCAAGTTTGTTTCATTGTCAAGAAGGCTTACATTAATTTTGCATCTTGCTACTTGGCCTGCACAATGTGCTAGCTATTTTTGAGTAGCTAAAGGAACTTGCAGTGCATATGGTTTGCAATGGTAACGTGTAGTGTCAGATACGTGCAGACAACACTTTAATGTATGGTCATACAATACAAATAATTATGAAACTGGAGCCAGAGAAATGTGTTCTAAGGAAAACACTTTATTATCACTTCTGATGTTATATCATATTTATGTTCTTGTAACTTGTGTTTGGTTTTAGATATATTTGGAGGTTTGATAATTTGTTGAAATTTGGTAACTTGTTTTATTTTTCCCACTGATCTTTACTTGTATCTACAAACACTTGTGTATATATATATATATGTATGTATGTGTGTGTGAGTGAGTGAATATATATAATGTGTGTGTATATGTATATATGCACAGGAAGATTGAAAATAAAAACATAAACCTTCATAAAATTCAGACAATTACACTAAATATTCATATTTTTGGTTTAACTTTGATTGATGACAGTTGAAAATCCACACAAAACTAGCTCACTACAAGACTTTTGTATTCAATGTGACAATATGGTTTGAAATCATATAGTTGAAACACAGATCAACTAACTTTTCCTTTGATTATATTTCATACCATGTTGTATTTGCCTTCCCTTTGAACTACCAGAATAGAGATGACATATATATATATTAAAATTTATGAACTGTAGGTTAGTAATACTTCAATGATGTTATATAGCATATAAATTGCAAGATTAATACAAAATATAAATTCATGATAACTATACATTAGTTGTGCTTCTGAACATGCAGATCAGGTAGAACTATTTCAATTTTTGAAACATTTTTATTTCCCAAAATTTGCCATCTCAGACCTTTAGGTGTCCATATTAAATCACAGAACTTAAACCTAATAACAGAAATTTAAATGTTTCTTCAAGACTAACTCATTCTATGTCCTCATGGTGCAGGAACCATTTCTTAATGTTTCTGAAGCTTCTATTGGAGTCTTATGTTCAGTATTCTTAGTACATTTGATTTCTAAAATTGTGTAATTTTTAACTAACCCATCAGGAGATGCACCAGCTTCTTTATCCTCAAAAAAAAAAATTAAATCATCATCTTCATTGATGTTCCTGTAAAGTTCTCAATCTTTTACAACATTCCTTTCATTCAGTTTACCACATTCTGTTGCTTTATTTATGAAGTTGGATGAATAAAGAATTCTTATTACTATATTTGTGCAAGAAGTTGTTTCTCTCGTCTTACAATTGACTCCAAAAATTAGAAGTGGTAAGACAATATCTTCTGCTTTCCATCCATTTCAGGCTATCAGCCTAACCTTTTGTGATAAGCATTTTGCATAAGTCTTTCATGCAAATATCAGTCAAGGAATAGTCAGTATAAAATTTGCTTCTGATTCAGTATTTCCAAAGTGTTTACAGAGGTATGATTTACACTGTCTGTGATTTCAAAAAACATGATAGGGCCCATTTCTAAAGTCGTTTTGTAGAAGTAAAACACTTATTTTGTTCATCATTGTACCTTATGACACCTCTAGCTTATCTCTTTAGTTGAAGTAGCCTATCCTTTACCAGAAATGTGGCATACTCAGCTGATTCTCCTACAAGAGCAAAAATTATCTTTGTATATAGCCAAACTGAATGATTTGCACATTCATTTTTTTCCTACATACCATATGTAGGAAAATCCTTCTATAATCTTCTTATATATGTTTGAATTTCCATCATCAATAATTGTTTTCAAATGTAGACCACTTTTCTGAAACCCTTCTAC